TTTAGCCTCAGGATGCGACGAAGACGACTGAGGTGGAAGTGGTTCAGACGACGTGCCTGCTTTGCGTACACCGTCCAAGTCTCCGCTCCATACAGTAGTGTCGGCAGGATGACGGCCTTGTACATCTTCAGCTTGGTGCTCAGCTGAAGACCGTGGCGATTCCAAACTGTGCTTTGGAGGCGACCGAAGGCTTGACTGGCTTTCGAGATCCTGTTGGCGACTTCGTCGTCGATCTTGGTGTTGCGGGAGAGAGTACTGCCCAGGTACGGGAAGTTCTTTACCACTTGCAGTTGGGCTCCGTTCACGCTGATTAGCGGCGGCGCGTTGGGGGCTGTGGCTGAGTTGGGTGGCGGTTGGTGCATCACCACCGTCTTCTGCGTGTTAATGACCAGACCGAAGTTCTCGCAGGCGGCGGAGAACAGGTCCATGCTGCGTTGCATCTCCTCTTCCGAGGTGGTGTTTAGGGCGCAGTCGTCGGCGAAGAGGAGTTCGTGAACGGTGGTTGTGGATACGCGCGATTGGAAGTGCATCCGCCGTTGATTCAGGAGGTGAATGTCCGTCCTGTAGGCGATGCGGATCCCGGGACGTTCGTCGCGGTGGGCGTCCATCAGCATGGCAGAGAACATAAGACTGAAGAGGGTAGGCGCCAGTACGTAGCCCTGCTTCACTCCATTGGTCACTGCGAATGCCTCTGAGACAGCTCCGTTGTCCATGACTCGCGCCATCATACCGTCCTGCAGCTGACGCACCATCTGAGTGAATCGCTCCGGACAGCCGAATTTCTGCATGATCTTCCACAGTCCTTCACGATTCACCGTGTCGAAGGCTTTCGTCAGGTCCACGAAGGTAGAGTACAGGTGGGTCCGCATCTCCTGACACTTCTCCTGAAGTTGGCGGGCGACGAAGATCATATCCGTGGTCCCACGATGACGACGGAAGCCGCATTGGCTTTCCGGCAGAAGGCCCTGTTCCAGATGGTTATTGAGGCGGTTGAGAAGGATGCGGGCGAAGATCTTCCCGGCGATGTTCAGCAGGGAGATGCCGCGGTGATTGTCGCAGACATGGCGATTCCCTTTGCGCTTGTAGAGATGCACGATGGTTGCGTCTTTGACATCTTACGGGACTTCACCTTGACGCCACATCTCTTGGAAGAGCGCAGTCAGGCGATCCATCAGTTGGGGACCTCCGTGCTTGTAGACCTCAGCAGGGATTGCGTCCGATCAGGGTGCTTTCCCGCTGGAGAGCTGCTGCACGGCCCTGATGGTTTCCTGGAGAGATGGCGGGAGGTCGAGGTCCACGTTGGTCTCCACTTGCGGCAAACGCTCGATGGCGGCGTCGGAGATGACGGAGGGGCGGTTGAGGACGCCTCGGAAATGCTCAGCCCATCGCTGCAGGATTTGCGTCTTCTCAGTCAGGAGAGTGTTGCCGTCGGCGCTGAGGAGAGGAGCAGTGCCCTTCGCCGGCAGACTGTAGACAGCTTTGATCGCAGAGAAGAAGTTCTTCCATTCGTTGCGGTCCGCGTACCCTTGGATCTCCTCAGCTTTGCGAGCAGTCCAGGCGTCCTGCATCTCGCGCAGTCATTGCTGAAGTTGGTGGCGACTGCGATAGAAGGCAGCTTTGGTGGCATCAGTGGGGTGATCTACGTAGGCTTTGTGTAGGCGGTTCTTCTCAGCTAGCAGATTTCTGATGGCGGCGTCGTTGTCGTCGAACCAGTCCTGGTGTTGGCGGGGAGCGCGACCGAGGACGGCGAGCGCCGTCGACTGGACCGTGTCTCGCAGTTGACACCAGCGGTTCTCCACGGAGGCGTTCTCAGCAGCGGCGGCGTCGGCAGCGATAGGAAGGTTGTCTAGCCTTTGTGCTAGTTCATTGCTGAAATGAAGATGGTGAGCGGGCAAAGACAACAAGGCAACATTCCGCTTACCTGGGGGTCGCTTACCTTGTGGTCTCCTCCGAGGCTGTAGGCGAATACGCATCTTCGAGATGACGAGGCGATGGTCGGTCCACCCGTCAGCACCCGCGATCGCCTTCGTCACCAGCACGTCCCGCTGATCTCGCCTCCGGACGAGGACATAGTCCAGCAGGTGCCACTGGCGCGACCGATGATGCCTCCAGGTGGCCTTCTCCCGCTCCGGCAGACAGAAGAAGGTGTTCGTCAGGATGAGGCGGTGTTCTGCGCAGGTGCGGAGAAGCAACAGACCATTGTCGTTTGAGCCGCGGAGACCATGGGGACCCAGCACTCCCCTCCAGGCAGTATGGTCTGTGCCAACGCGGGCGTTGAAGTCACCAAGGACAGTCAACTTGTCCGCCTTCGACACAGTCGCCAAGAGGGCGTGCAGGTCCTCGTAGAATTTGTCTCTGACGGCGTCGGGGTTGGTCATCGTCGGAGCGTAGGCGCTGATGATGGTGGCGAATTTGCCTCCCCAGAGAGGCAGGCGGAGGCTCATCAGGCGATCGTTGATGCCCTGCGGCAAACAGGGCAGGCGTCCCACGATGTCGTTCCGAATGGCGAAGGCGACACCCGCGTCCCGTCGCTCTGCCCTGGGTCGACCGCTCCAGAAGAAGGTGTAGCCGGCACCCACCTCCTCCAGTTGGCCTTGTTCGGAGAATCGGGTCTCGCTGAGTGCGGCGATGTCCACCTTGTAGCGCGCCAGTTCTCGTGCCACTAGCGCCGTCCTCCGTTCCCGTCGGTTGCTCCTCGGATTGTCTAAAAGGGAACGAACATTCCAGGCTGCCAGAGTGAGCGGGCTCACCCTGCCAGTCTGGTGACAACGAGTGGGGGCGACGGGAAGGAAACGGAGAAGAAGGTGACGAAGGAGAGGAATAGGCAGAAGAATAGGCAGAGGAAGAGGAAGAAGAGGTAGGATGAGGAGAATGAGTATGGTTGTTGTTGTTATTGGTATTGTTGTTGTTTCGATTTGGATTGTTTCGACCATGATAAGACGTCTGCGGCCCTGGCTAGCCTGGAGACGGCGTGGTACCCAGCAATGTTTAGGCCACCTTTTCTAGGCCCTTCCCCTTATTGGGGCTGGCAGTGCCACCCCTGAATAGGGCTGCCATGTGCCGTTTTGGCACGGCCGAACTCCACTATGGCACCACGACTTCGGGTTGTAGTGGAGAGCGACCCGAATTCGCCGTAAGCCGCGGCCTCCGACGGCGTAGGTTGGCGCGTCAAGGCGATGTCGATGTGGAGATCCATCCCGTCACCGGCTGTCCAGCGGCGTGCAGAGTCGAACCACGTTACGACGGTTCCGACGCAAGGTTCCATCCGACCTTCCATCCAGCGGAATCCGCAAACCCTGTGCACACGGCACAGCACACAGGGCCTCCTCACCTGGTTTAGCCCGCCGGTCGAGACGGTTGCCCGGGGTGTGGCCGCTGAGCAGAGTCCAGCTACGTGGAGCCACAGGTGAGAGTTGAGTGCCAGCAAGTGGACGCTAGGCGCAGTCTCACCTGCAAGCAAGTGAGCGACCACCACGACCATTACGTGAACCCACCGCTGACACCTCTACACCCCAATCAACCAGCTAACTGACTTGCATTCAATAGGAACTGACAACGTTCCGAACTCTCTTATAAATAATAGTAATAATGCTAATAAATGCATTTGATGCCAGTTTACAGGCATTGTCAGGAAAAGATTAAGCACAAATCCAGCCGGCAATGAAAAAACTCCTGACGAAAAAATAAAGCGGATGTTGTTTTTGTGTTGTTTGGAGGGTTCAGGAGAAAAAGCTACTACCCATGAAACGACGACAGACAATAAAGGGAGGGGCGACACAGCATCTGATATTTTCAGTCGCCATTTGTTTCATGAAGTTTGAACTGGATCAAACAGAAGCACCGAAGAACAGTTGTCGCTGTTGGCTAAAGAAATTGTCCCTGTTGAGACCGGCCATAGAGATCAGAAACCACGAACGCCATCACAACGATAAATTTGATCGACGACTTCAGCACCCAAAATTTGTGGGAGTGTTTCTGAATGCAAAAATCGAGTAATAGTTCTCTTAAATAAAGGATAAATTTGCAGAATTTTTACATTACCGGGTAGTTTATTCCAAATAGCAATTCCATTTACAGAAAATAACTGACGATATTTAACAGTACGTGCCAGAAGACGAAATAAAAAGACTTCACGGTGACTGTTACGTCGGGGGTGAACATGATGTCTTTAAGTAGTGAGTGGGTTAAAGATGCGATTATATAAAAGCTTACATAGTACGAATAGTCCTTTTTTAAATCTAGTTTCAGTTTCAGTTTATTACGGGAAATATAGGCGAGCGCCTTTGAACTCCCTATTGGTTACAAGTCGTCGGAGAAAAACATTGATAGTGGGAAGGCGAAAAAGGGGGATTTGTACATAATCCTAGTACGAAAAGAGTAATAAATAACGGTAACTAACTAGTTACAAGTAGCATAACCAAGTTTAAGTTGGTGCCAGGTTATGTGAGTGGATGTAAGGCTTGTAACTGGGAGGCTTGATGCGCGTCAAGTCTAAGCTTAAAGGACTTCACACAGGAGGAGTTTGCAACATCGGTGGGCAGGGCATTCCACGCTGCAACCACTCTGTGACTGAAAAAGAACTTTCTTCCATTGATCCTTGCTTTCCCGGCACGTAGTTTTAGGGGATGACCGCGCAAATTGGGCGTGTTAGCTTGTGTGAAATAATCAGTGGGATCTAAACAACAGTCTAGGCTGTTGATAATGCGAAATGCAAGTATAAGGTCACCACGTAATTGCCTATAAGAAAGTGGAAACAGGTTGAGAGTTGACAGTCGAGATTCGTAAGACAGCGCTCCCAGACCTTGTGTCATTTTGGTCGCCCGTCTCGGAAACTTCTCCAAAACGGTATAGTCCTTGGCAGTCCAAGGTCTCCAGGCCTGTATGGCGTATTCTAGATGAGGCCTCACGTAGGTGCCAAATATTTTTGAAAAGCTGTCTGGATCAAATTCCATAAATGCTCGCTTAATGAGTTGCAGTGTAGTCATAGCCGATTTAGCCGCCTTCGCGCAGTGCAGTGTTGATTTGAGTGAAGATGTAATCCATACACCCAAGTCCTTCTGACTTTCAACCTGTTGCAGGGGTGTGCCCTCTAGGAAGAAAGTCCTGGGGCTGGGGGTTCTGAAGCTGCCTAGTTGAAGAAAGTTGCACTTGCTTATATTGAAGGGCATAAGCCAGCGTTTCGACTAGTCGTTGAGCCTGTTCAGGTTTGCTTGCAGGTGGTCTACGTCTGCCGCATTGTGAATAACTTTCACAAAATTTAATGTCGTCGGCAAACAGGATGGTATCATAGTCTAAGTCCTTGACGCAGTCATTTATGAAAACGAGGAATAACGTGGGACCTAGGACTGAGCCCTGTGGGACGCCACTCACCACGCTTACCTCTGAGGACTGTTGACGCCCGACCTGCACTCTTTGGAACCATCCAGCCAAAAAGCTCTGGATCCATACAAGAAGGCGTCCACGAATTCCAGCGTTGAGAAGTTTGTGCAAGAGACGTTGGTGGGGAACGCTGTCGAAGGCCTTTTTAAAGTCGATGTAGATGGCGTGCACCACACTACCTTCATCGCGTGCTCTGGTCCAGCGTTCGAGCGTAAAGAGCAGATTCGTGAGGCAGGACCTACCACTTCGAAAGCCGTGTTATGCATCAGAAAGGAGGTGGTGCTGCTCGAGGAACTGCATCAATAAGTGATCAAGGCCTGTAAGCCGGCAACGTTATTCGTAAGACAAATGTTGGTGTTCCAGGGCTAAGACTCTCTTGCTAAAAAATGTCGAGCGGATTCTATTTTCTTCCGCTTAGCAGCACGCATGAGACTAAATAAAAACGAACGGTATTTAAAGCCAGGTCGAACGTACATGTTATAAAGGCGCAACCTAATGTCACTAGTTTTAAAGTTTCGGAGGCTAAACCCGGTCGTTCTACGTGCATTGGAGACTATCAAAGCACAGTGCTCCGAAAAATTGAGGCTCCTGAAGTATGATACACCCAGATCCTTTATAACCCCAGTCACATTTGTCGTGGCCGTCAATACTTAGTTGACATTGGTTGTCGTCGCCGACCACCATGATTGAGCATTTATTTCAAGAAAGAGAAAGGCGCCATGTGCGGCACCACTGGGCGAAAGCCTGTAGATCGCTCTTTAGGAGCTCAAGCACGATGTCATGATCTGCCGGCTTATATCGATATGCAACTTTAAGATCATCGGCATACATGAAGGGCTTACAATTCTGAAATAAATCTGGTATGTCGTTGACAAAAAGGCAAAATAATAGCGGATCGAGCGCAGTACCCTGAATCACTCCACTCCTTACGCATGCGGTGTTAGAGATAATACTGGAGATCTTAACCCGTTGTGTGCGACCGCCCAGGTAAGATGATATAAAACTCACAATTTTGCCACCTATTCCGAAAGAGGACAGTTTCAAGAGAAGAAGAGGGGCATGTTCAACACGATCAAAAGCCTTAGTGAAATCAAAATATACTGTGTAAAGTGGAAAACCATTGTCCCTAGATTGGAGAACATAGTCAAAGAAAGAGAGTTGACAGGTGTCACAAGACCGAGCTTTGAAGAATACATGCTGTGCAGTGCTCAGAAGGTTATTCTCTGTTAAGTGACACATCACCTTATCTTTGATCAATGTCTCTACGATTTTCGAAACTGCGGGACTACTGATCCATTGAATAGAGGACATTTGGCAGGCAGGAGTGATTTAATCGAGAGACGAGTTGGTAACTATTAAAGAAATCAGTCTTTTCGAGGAAACTCATAATGATTTTGACTATTCTCTCCATAATATTGCAACAGACGCACGTTAGGTTCACCGGCCGATAGTTTTTTTGCACTTGTTCTAGACTAACCCTTGTAACTGGGATATATATTTGCCACCTTCTAGTCGGAGGGGAGAATGCCTCGGTCAAAGGACGACTGCAAAATATGTAAAGCGATCTGGCGATTTGGCAAGCCAGCTCGTTTAGGAGTTTTACCGGTATTTGTTCCGAATCCGGATATTTTCATTCCTTAAGCGTTAGAATTTCCTTCCTCAAATCTTCGTCTGTGAATTTGAAGCTTTCGACTATTCAGTCAGTTGCTCCAGTAGGCAATCCAGCCTCGTCAAAGTCCGTTTCGTCGGTAAAACCAAATGCGAAAAATCGGCTTAGGTGTTCTTATTTAGCCTCACTTTCTACAATATCCCCATCGTTTTCTCTTTTCCATACTCAGGTCGCCTCTTTGTTCTTTAATCTGCTGTTGATGTAGCCGAAGAGTACATTTGGCTTAGTTACGGTCCGTTTCATAAGTCGCGTTTCGTAGTCCTCCGGAAACTTTCGGGCATTCGACCTTACCTCATTTCGCTTTCGGCAAAACTGCTCATAGTGCAAATGTTGTTTTTCTGTTACATACCTTCTCCAAAGTTTATTATTCCGGTCAACTTCTTCCTTTATATCTCGCGTTATCCAGGTAGGACGATTTGTCTTCTGGACTCTCTTTGTCGGACCGTTTCGATGTATGATGTCGGTTACGAGTCCTTTTAGAGTGCTCCAATCAACGTCTGGATGTCCGGAAGAACATCATGCCAGTTTACTACTGATAATTAACTTCTCATGACAGCAAAATTTTCCCGCCAGAAATTCAGCTGAGGCTCAGTCATATCCATTTGTCGGCTGTATAAGCGATATTTCCTAAACAGCATGACATGGTCACTCCTACCGAGCGGTGTTATGTACCTAAGTCCGCTGGCACTAGTTGGGACTTTGTAAGGACCAGGTCCAAACAATTTGCCCTTTGGGCCTCTCCGATTCTGGTTGGAAACGCGACATTCTGTACGAGAAATAGATCAGGTGTTAGCTTCAAGATCCTAGAATCAAAGGAATTTCGCTATTTATTAATAAATTGTTCCGGTCGACCATCGGTACGCTGAAGTTTCCAGTTACCAGCGC